ACCTCGCTCTTCTGTTACTGCAGATTACCGCAACGTTTTGGGAAGGCGGTGGACCGCTGTGTCTATTACACACTCTGTTGTGACTTTTCGTGTAAAGCTGTACCGTGGAAAGTACAGCTTGACCTTCCAAAACCTACATTTTTGCTAAATTATAAGATGCATGCTCACAATTATTCTCACAGCTTATCTAAGTGATGTTAGTGGATAAGATAAAAATGAGTAAATGACACCCTTAGAAGATGAGGTTAGGATTCTGTGCGGTAGCCTACAATATTGCATGAAATGTCCAAAAACATGGGGCTTTATCATTATTATTATTAGTGAGTGATGAATAATTGGAGGGTTTGGGTTAGTTCTAGTTGTTAACAGTAGTGGTCATGGCCCAATCAAAGGTAAAGACAAATCATTAATTTTGTTGAGCCTGTGGAAAAGCAGCAGTATGACTGTTTCTAACTTCTAATTGGGTGAGCAGTTTAGGTCTTCCACTGCACACCATCTTCACATAATCAAAGGCACAAACTCAGACAATGTAGAAATGTACTACAACTATACTCAGAGAAAGGCAGCAAGCAAAGGACCCCTGCAGGCACGCACACACTCCTTCATGCAAACCCATGTAGATGCATCGTTTTGGTATATTTACTCACTGAGCGTCACCGTATCTGTTGTAAAAGAATTTGCGTTGTTTTTGTTCTTGATCTGTTCTCGCTCTCTCTCTGTCCTTTGGTAAAGGTAACATGTTTAATGTAGCAGTGCATCATTACTGCCACGTTTTGGTCGGTAAAACTGGTCATTACTTCTGTCAGGGACTTTTTTCCACTCATTTGCATCTTCTCTAGCTGCAGGGCATTGAGAGTATTAACTTTTCATTTACATGTGTGTTGTGCTGAACTGTTATTTACAATATTTAAGTGGAAAGACTGCTTTAAATGAGAAGCCTGGCAGCATGAAAATAACATGCAAATAAGCTGTAAAGGGATTATATTTACATGTGAACTAGAGGATGAACATTGTGTCTGAGTAAATACTGCAGATTATTTTTATCTTGCTCTTACTGTAACTCCAACAGTATATATCAAACCAGCGTGTTGTTCTTTTTCTTCTTTTTAACATCAGTGTAGCATCCTCAAGGCTAAATGCTATGTCAATCGAAAGATAGTCAATTATTAAACATCGTATGTATTACTTTAACATCTGTAACGGCGACACATCCTGCTATCCAAACAGTCCCATATAAGGTTTTGTTAATAAAATAAGACGATCCTCAGACTTTAGTGGAGCAGAAGAAGCTCTGGTCAAGCTCAAAGTTCAGATCAGGACTGCTCTGTGTCACAGATCTCATGCAATCAAATCTGTGCGTGTTCTGTGCGTGCTGCGGGTCTCCATGCATGTTTATGGTATTTTTGAGCGTCTGCAGTCTTAGTGCTAATTGAACTTGCCATTGTTGTTATTTATCTGGCTTGTAGAGTTAATATGATGGACGTATTTGAGTTGTTTTAAGAGGTAAAAAGAAACAAAACTGTGTACTTTAACATAAAGCACTATCAGGGGCTCTTGTAACTGTCAGGCTGTGAAAAATGAATCAAAATGAGCAGAGGACAATATCATTTCTTCTTAGTTTCACATGGCAAACATCAATTATGTCTCTGCTGGTGGCTGCTGTTGTTTGTTTGCCTATTTAAAGGGGTCATACTGAGGCTGCTCTTGTGACTGATCAGGGGTTTGGCCCAGAGGTGAGGGGTTAAATACACGGGGCAGGAAGGTGGGGTCCGGTCTAAGACCAGCTTCAGTAAACTTGTGACCCTCAGATCAGTGCTGTAATGTGTCATTAGCCTTAGCTTTATACTCCTCAGTGTCTTTGTGCTCTGTAGACTGAATTACAGCAGGAAATAGGAAGGGTTATTGTGGTAGGTTGGATCAAATTATTGTTTGATCAAAACACTGTCTTCATGCACAGCAATTTCAAGTGGGGAGAAATTGGTATGTAAATAGATGTAAATAACTATTATTATTAATTAATTGCTTCCTATTTAAAATATAGAAAATGAAATGAAAAAAGTAAAGAGAAGAAGTTTAGCTTGCTTGGAAACTTTTGATTAAACTAGCTAGTTTTCTGTTGAATACGGCTCTAACATTGGCCTAGCAAAATGACTCCAAGAATGCATTGATGACTCATCCACAACGGCACAAAAGAACAAAGAGCAACATCTAGACTGCAGATCTCAGATGTCTCAGGTTAGACCAGTATTCATGATTCAGCAATAAGAAGGAGACTGGGCACAAATGGCACCTACAGTGGGGCAAAAAAGTATTTAGTCAGCCACCGATTGTGCAAGTTCCCCCACCTAAAATGATGACAGAGGTCAGTAATTTGCACCAGAGGTACACTTCAACTGTGAGAGACAGAATGTGAAAAAAAATCCATGAATCCACATGGTAGGATTTGTAAAGAATTTATTCGTAAATCAGGGTGGAAAATAAGTATTTGGTCAATAACAAAAATACAACTCAATACTTTGTAACATAACCTTTGTTGGCAATAACAGAGGTCAAACGTTTACTATAGGTCTTTACCAGGTTTGCACACACAGTAGCTGGTATTTTGGCCCATTCCTCCATGCAGATCTTCTCGAGAGCAGTGATGTTTTGGGGCTGTCGCCGAGCAACACGGACTTTCAACTCCCGCCACAGATTTTCTATGGGGTTGAGGTCTGGAGACTGGCTAGGCCACTCCAGGACTTTCAAATGCTTCTTACGGAGCCACTCCTTTGTTGCCCGGGCGGTGTGTTTTGGATCATTGTCATGTTGGAAGACCCAGCCTCGTTTCATCTTCAAAGTTCTCACTGATGGAAGGAGGTTTTGGCTCAAAATCTCACGATACATGGCCCCATTCATTCTGTCCTTAACACGGATCAGTCGTCCTGTCCCCTTGGCAGAAAAACAGCCCCATAGCATGATGTTTCCACCCCCATGCTTCACAGTAGGTATGGTGTTCTTGGGATGCAACTCAGTATTCTTCTTCCTCCAAACACGACGAGTTGAGTTTATACCAAAAAGTTCTACTTTGGTTTCATCTGACCACATGACATTCTCCCAATCCTCTGCTGTATCATCCATGTGCTCTCTGGCAAACTTCAGACGGGCCTGGACATGCACTGGCTTCAGCAGCGGAACACGTCTGGCACTGCGGGATTTGATTCCCTGCCGTTGTAGTGTGTTACTGATGGTGACCTTTGTTACTTTGGTCCCAGCTCTCTGCAGGTCATTCACCAGGTCCCCCCGTGTGGTTCTGGGATCTTTGCTCACCGTTCTCATGATCATTTTGACCCCACGGGATGAGATCTTGCGTGGAGCCCCAGATCGAGGGAGATTATCAGTGGTCTTGTATGTCTTCCATTTTCTGATGATTGCTCCCACAGTTGATTTTTTCACACCAAGCTGCTTGCCTATTGTAGATTCACTCTTCCCAGTCTGGTGCAGGTCTACAATACTTTTCCTGGTGTCCTTCCAAAGCTCTTTGGTCTTGGCCATGGCGGAGTTTGGAGTCTGACTGTTTGAGGCTGTGGACAGGTGTCTTTTATACAGATGATGAGTTCAAACAGGTGCCATTCATACAGGTAACGAGTGGGGGACAGAAAAGCTTCTTACAGAAGACGTTACAGGTCTGTGAGAGCCAGAGATTTTCCTTGTTTGAGGTGACCAAATACTTATTTTCCACCCTGATTTACGAATAAATTCTTTACAAATCCTACCATGTGGATTCATGGATTTTTTTTTCACATTCTGTCTCTCACAGTTGAAGTGTACCTCTGGTGCAAATTACTGACCTCTGTCATCATTTTAAGTGGGGGAACTTGCACAATCGGTGGCTGACTAAATACTTTTTTGACCCACTGTATGGGAGAGTTTAAAGGCAAAAACGGCTGCTGACCACAAAGAATACAAACATTCATCTCACCTTTGCCACAAAAACATCTTGACGATCCCCAAGACTTTGGGGAAAATATTCTGTGGAGTTACAAAAGTTGACATTTCTGGAGCAGTCTGGAGTCTCGTCGCGTCTGGCGGAAACAAACATGGTGATGGTATGGGGCTGCTTTCCTGCTTCAGGATCTGGATGACTTTCCATGACTGATGCAACCATGAAGTCTGCTCTCTACCAGAAAATGCTGAACGAGAAAATCCGAGAATATCGGTTTGTGTTTTTCTGGCTTATTCAGCAGAACTGAAACTGAACTGAACTGAAACAAACCAGCAAATTCTGCTCTGAAACAACAAATTTAAACAGACCTGGCATGACCTCAAACAGACTGTTAATGCTAAAAAACAACAACAACAACAACAACAACAACAACAACAACAACAACAATAACAAAAGAAAAAACAAAACTGAATTTTCAAAATTCTTCAAAGAGGGGTGGGATACAATTTCTCTAGAGCTATATGAAGGACCAGGTAGGTTTAGATCCTTTCCCCTTCATAAATGAAATCATTTAAAAGCTGTATTTTGTATCAGTGTTGTGGCTCGGTGATGTAGTGGTTAACACATTTGCTTGGTAAAGGTTGCTGGATTAATTCCAGCTGGAAATCCCCCTTTGGAGTTGCATCATGGAGGGTATCTGGGGTAAAAAGGCCAAATCAAACATGCAGTTTTTTTGTCAGGTGCAGGTAATTGACATGTATAGGTAAAGCAGTAAATATGCAACTATAATGAAGGTTAAGTTATGAAATCCTTTTATGACATGGTTGTATATTTGGTAGAACAGAGTGGAGTGGGTACAGTAATTGGCTGATGAGTGTAGCGGTACACTCTCCGTCTCAGTTTTTACTGACTGAACCAGTAGTATTTCTGTTCTCATGCCTATTCTAAAAACAAACAATGACTGATGTATGACACCTTTTTTTATGCTGGCACAAAGCTAAGTTTGCATTTGACCTTTATCCAGCTGTAATAACACGTGAGGTTAAATTCACAATGTCTTTTCTGTTTTCTCCTCCAGGATGCCTCAATCGCCCATCGCTTTCATCTGATGCGTGAGAAGCACCCTGAGAAGTTTAACAGCAGGTTAGTGAGATATTTAGTGGGATTTAGCATAATATTTTGCTACTGCAAAAATTAGTTTACCTGCACCCAACCTCATACCATGAATTGATAAAAAAACCCTGATAAATAACGAGTGACCTAGCACTTTAATCTGGAAACCCAGTTTCGTAGTCCATAATTGTCACCGATCGATAACAGACCAAAACCTGCTGCAGAGAGGGGTCGATATATTGGCGGTGTTGGCCTTATTTGAGTTAAAAGGGACTGAGCTAGAAGAGTTGCATAAACTCTGCATAGAGTACTCCAGGATCTATGCTTTTAATTTCTTCATTTTATTTTCTAATGTTTACTCGTTCAAGCACACAACTAATTATGAAATGATCTAGACATCCAGCAGGAGAAATGAGTGAGGGAGACTGTGATGACGTAAATGGGAGTTGAATCATTCTCATGGTAGAGAAGACACCTTTAAAATGGCAGGCCAGGACAACAAGAGCTCAGCTGCCTAATTAATAGTTACATCATCTGGGTGGCCGCCTCAGCCTGATGAGAGAGAGGGAGACGTCAGAAGAGAGAGTCACGATGATCCAGAGTTGATGAAATACCATCGCCTGGTTCAGATGGATGAATTCAATCTCACCACACCAGGAAGACATGTAAATGAGACAAAGTCAGGATTGGAGTCTGAGAGCAGCTTGAGGACGTCATCAGAATTTATATATCAAACTTTTATGCATGTTGAGAAAAAAATTCTTAACCTTAGCCCCATGTGTAAAATTATTGTGGGGCGCACTTTTCTGTTTTCCATAACAATAAGGCACTGTGTAAATATCACAGGTCTCAGCCACACAGACTGTGTGACCATCTCAAAAAAACTACTGTTTTCTTAACATAAGTGTAGCGATGCAAAAGGCCTTCTGACAGGCTCTGTTTGGAATTTTGTAGTATCAACACTACACCAGCATCCACCATCAGACAATTAAATAGCATTACATACAATACAATGCAACTTTATTTGTATAGCACATTTAAAACCAGAGTGCCACTGGATTGTCTGACTTCTCTATCTTAGAACAATTTCTGTTGAGATAAAGAAAATGTTTGTGTTAGTGGCCTTTGTGACCCATTGTAAAGTTTCATCTGGTCAAACACAGAATAAAGAAGACAAACGGTAGACAATTAGAAAAATGAAGTTATTCCCTTGTAAAATACCCTCTGCCTCAAACTATAGGCTACTCACAAATTTGATCTATCTCTTTTTAAACATAGACTGTATATAAAAGATGGACATAGCCCCCATAACATCAACTCTGCATTTTGAAGTCTCAGTTGTGTCATTGCTGCTGCCATCCTTGTTTTTGGGGGCCACAGTGCTAATTTATCAGCTAACACTTGAAATCTTGATTCACAAGCTGTATACATAAACTCTGTGGACACATTTACAGTCGCTGGTAGGGATGGGTATCGAAAACCGGTTCTTGTTGAGAACCGGTTCCCACTGTTTCAATTCCTTGGAATTGTTTGCCATTTTTGCAAACGATTCCCTTATCGATTCCAGTCGCCCCGAATGACGTCACCACATTGCGGAGCGTCATTTACCTGGCAGGAAACATCAAACCTTGAGGAAGACAGCAGGAGAAAATCACACCTGAAAGCTGCTCCTGTAAACTAAGAATGAAAACTTGGGCAGCATGTGGTCACTAACACTGGACAGAAGATTGGTTGCCTGGTCTCCATTTCTAATGCAACATTCAGGATCCACGTAAACGACTTAAAAGCATGGATCTATCCTGCTTCGTATCAATAGTCCAGGCTGCAGTTGGTGGTGTAATAGTATGTGAGATATCTTCTCTGCACACTTTGGAAACTTTAGTAGCAAGTGAGCATTGTTTAAACTCCACATTGTTTAAACACACCCTGACTGACTTTATCTTACTGATGTTGTCGTCTATCCCTTTACGACCAATCTTCTGATGGTTGCTGTCAGCTAGATTACATTTCATTGCATCAGGTTATAAATGTAATAAATTTTTGATGCTATGAAGTTGATCTTTTTTAAAACTGTGGGGACTGACTTGCTTTTATAGCCAGGCCCGTGTGGCCATTAGAGGAACTCTAGTTTTTGGTACCTCGCATTGGCTTCATTTTTTAGCCCTGGAGGTTGATTGGGCTCATTGTGATATCATGGAATTAAACATAAACCGAATGCCACTTTAGGAACATTTTGCATTTAAGCTTTATATCCGTGGCAATTGAAATTGCACACACAAAAGAGTTCATGGACCCACGAAAAGCAAAAAAATGTTTGAAAAGCTGCTTCCTTTTCAGTCCAGCACCCTTTACTACACTTGTGAAGCAATCGTTCAGAAGAACAGTCAAACAGCAGCAGACTGCATCAGCCTCTGTAGACATAAACTGCTGCCCTGAGGGGAATGACTGTTGATGAAATCCTGCTTTGCTTGTTGTCTTTACTGTAGCCTGATGTGTATGAATGTGAGAACGTTCTCAAGTTTCTCAAAGCAAATTATGCAAAGTGTCCCCAGTGTGGCTGCATGCAGATCTGCACCTATCGTTTGCTTAAAAGCCGTTCTTTGTTTACTGTTGACCATGTGTGATTGTGCTAAAGTGTGCCGAAAAGCACAATCCCTGAACGCGCTGCTGTGAAGGTTTGAAATCACAAGTTAATTAGAGAGTAAAAGCGGCCATCCTTTGTTGCAATGTGCAGTTGTACTTTGAATACTCAGTTCAGTGTAGGAGCTTGTTTTGAATGCCTCTCAGTCACTTGGGAACCAGGCTCTGTGTTTCATGTTGTTTGCATGATGGCAACAACATGTATTCCACTGGTTCACTCCACAGCTAATTAGCTGACATACTGTGGAAAATGAAAAAAAATAGAGGAGCGGAGAGAGTATGAAGGGGTACTAGAGAGATGGCTTGTTTACTCTTTGAAATTCAATAATTAATGCTGAAGTTTCCATCCTTGGTCCCATATCTGTTTCCAGCATCATAAAAGAAAGATACCGCCGTTCTCAGTGGACCCTCTCTTTGATCCATTAGGCAGACTTAGAAGATATAAAGCATTTATGTGGACAGCAGGACATATTTAGCCCACATAAACCCAGAGGTTAAACACAGTAACCTTTAAAGCTCTTTGCTTTTCTACAAAATCTTCTTGGATGTTGCTTTTGACTGTCTCCATTGCTCTGAGAGCCTCTTGTGGCAAAGATCAAACTGTAGCTCCAAGCGAGAGTGCCGTGACGCTCCGACAGCCTACTGTACAATATTTACAGTAAGCCTGGTGCTGGAGGTTATTGTTCTTCTGTGAATTTCCTTTTTCAGTACTGCAGCAGAGCACAAGACAGTTGATGGACAGCTGCAACTGTTCTATTGTTGCGTGACTGAAGTTTTGGCAGGGTAAACACCCCTCCATGTTTACAGCAGTTAAAACTGAAAGGAGTCAATGTTGAGACCCAGCTATTTCTTTCTCTGTGGGTAAGCGCATGATAAAATCACCTTTGACCTGGCGAGAGAGGCCCATAGCCACATGTAGCACTTAGCTCAGTGCTTCATTGTACTTCCTGTCAGTCACAATCCCACATTGTCTGCATGTGTTTCTCTCACACACTTGCACCACAAACCATCCCCCACTATCTCAGGCCTACTGGGACAAGGGGGATGTGTGATTCCTGACACCTCAGCATCTGATGGTCACAGTAGCCAGACCTCCAGGAGCCTGAAGCCCAGGTGCGAATCATTTCCCATGCTGTGGACAATGCAGTCTTTGTGTGTGTGCAAAAATGTGTGTTATCCATTCTGGAACATTTTCAGGGAGGAGAGGAAATAATATGATTAGAAAGTGATTTTTTTTAAAATACTTAAGCAGTATAAATCATCTATCCTAACTGCTCTTACTCAGGCCATGTCCACACTGTTACATTTTCATTTGAAAACGCATCCTTTTCTCTCCGTTTTGGCCTCCCGTCCACACTGAGACGGCGTGTTCGCTCAAGGAACACGGAGCGTTGTGAAAACACTCTCCAAAGCGGATACATTTGAAAGCGACGTTTTCGCGTCGCAGTGTGGACTGCGAACCCGGAGCATTTTCGAAAACAATGAAACATTTTATCATGGGATTCAGTCATGTGACCAATTAAACTAAGAGAGTGGAGGGCATTATACAGCAGTTGTTTTGTTTGCTCTCAGTTCTGACAGCCCTATTAACGATTAATATCAGTTTGTACATGCTCCAGATAGCTTTTCTTCAAATTCTTTAATTCTCACTCGCTTTTGCAACTTTGTACTTTTGTGTTACTCGCAGCAACAACTCCAACTCATTGTTAGTCCATTTAAAAAAAGTTTTCCTCAACATTTTGTCGCGATGTTTCAAAGAGTCGGAAAGTGAATAAACGGCAGACGAAAGTGAGGCAGGTCGAATCGTCTTGTGTTTCACGCATTTGCAGTACTGGAACGTAAGCGTTCAATGTAAATGAACGAGTCTGTGAAAACGAATGAAAACGATAGTGTGGACGCGGAGCGTTTTCAGACGTATACGCCGTTTTCATATTTATTCGTGTGGACCCCTCAGATCAGTTATATGTGTGCTCCCCTTTTGTGACTAAGGCAGACTTGTTCAGAGCTGATTTTGAACTGGTTCCATAAAAAGCAGTGGTAAATTTGCAGCAAATCTAGAGTTTTAGTCATTGTCTTTTGAATAAATTGTCATTTAGTTCTAGTCATAATCCAAATGTTTAAAATTTTGCTCGACAAAATATTGTAAGATTATAGCCAGAGATGGGCAGTAACGCGTTACTGTAATCCGATTACTTTTTTCAAGTAACGAGTAAAGTAAGGGATTACTATTGCAAAAACGGTAATTAGATTACCGTTACTTTCCCGTAGGAACGCTGCGTTACTGCGTTACTAAAACCGTGATTTTTTTTGCGAGAATGTCTCATGACAGTGACGTAAGCAAGTGCGACGTTTGTGACAACAGCTGTGTGCAGATCAACAGTGGATCATAT